TAGTCTATAGTCCAGACTATAGTCTAGTCTATAGTCCAGACTATAGTCTAGTCTATAGTCCAGACTATAGTCTAGTCTATAGTCCAGACTATAGTCTAGTCTATAGTCCAGACTATAGTCTAGTCTATAGTCCAGACTATAGTCTAGTCTATAGTCCAGACTATAGTCTAGTCTATAGTCCAGACTATAGTCTAGTCTATAGTCCAGACTATAGTCTAGTCTATAGTCCAGACTATAGTCTAGTCTATAGTCCAGAATATAGTCTAGTCTATAGTCCAGACTATAGTCTAGTCTATAGTCCAGACTATAGTCTAGTCTATATTCCAGACTATAGTCTAGTCTATATTCCAGACTATAGTCTAGCCTATAGTCCAGACTATAGTCTAGCCTATATTCCAGACTATAGTCTAGTCTATAGTCCAGACTATAGTCTAGTCTATAGTCCTGACTATAGTCTAGTCTATAGTCCAGACTATAGTCTAGTCTATAGTCCAGACTATAGTCTAGTCTATAGTCCAGACTATAGTCTAGTCTACAGTCCAGACTATAGTCTAGTCTACAGTCCAGACTATAGTCTAGTCTATAGTCCAGACTATAGTCTAGTCTGTAGTCCAGACTATAGTCTAGTCTATAGTCCAGACTATAGTCCAGTCTATAGTCCAGACTATAGTCTAGTCTATAGTCTAGGCTATAGTCCAGACTATAGTCTAGTCTATAGTCCAGACTATAGTCCAGTCTATAGTCCAGACTATAGTCTATTCTATAGTCCAGACTATAGTCTATTCTATAGTCCAGACTATAGTCTAGTCTATAGTCCAGACTATAGTCTAGTCTATAGTCCAGACTATAGTCTAGTCTATAGTCCAGACTATAGTCTAGTCTATAGTCCAGACTATAGTCTAGTCTATAGTCCAGACTATAGTCTAGTCTATAGTCCAGACTATAGTCTAGTCTATAGTCCAGACTATAGTCTAGTCTATAGTCCAGACTATAGTCTAGTCTATAGTCCAGACTATAGTCTAGTCTATAGTCCAGTCTATAGTCTAGTCTATAGTCCAGACTATAGTCTAGTCTATAGTCCAGACTATAGTCTAATCTATAGTCCAGACTATAGTCTAGTCTATAGTCCAGACTATAGTCTAGTCTATAGTCCAGACTATAGTCTAGTCTATAGTCCAGACTATAGTCTAGTCTATAGTCCAGACTATAGTCTAGTCTATAGTCCAGACTATAGTCTAGAACAACAACACCAAACAATTGATGGTAGACTATAGTCTAGTCTATAGTCCAGACTATAGTCTAGTCTATAGTCCAGACTATAGTCTAGTCTATAGTCCAGACTATAGTCTAGTCTATAGTCCAGTCTATAGTCTAGTCTATAGTCCAGACTATAGTCTAGTCTATAGTCCAGACTATAGTCTAATCTATAGTCCAGACTATAGTCTAGTCTATAGTCCAGACTATAGTCTAGTCTATAGTCCAGACTATAGTCTAGTCTATAGTCCAGACTATAGTCTAGTCTATAGTCCAGACTATAGTCTAGTCTATAGTCCAGACTATAGTCTAGTCTATAGTCCAGACTATAGTCTAGTCTATAGTCCAGACTATAGTCTAGTCTATAGTCCAGACTATAGTCTAGTCTATAGTCCAGACTATAGTCTAGTCTATAGTCCAGACTATAGTCTAGTCTATACGCCAGACTATAGTCTAGTCTATACGCCAGACTATATACTCTAGTCTATACGCCAGACTATACTCTAGTCTATACGCCAGACTTTACTCTAGTCTATACGCCAGACTATACTCTAGTCTATACGCCAGACTATACTCTAGTCTATAGGCCAGACTATATTCTAGTCTATAGGCCAGACTATAGTCGAGTCTATAGGCCAGACTATAGTCGAGTCTAACTAACTATTAATATCCAGAGATTAAATTTACTTTTAGTTTAAATTTATCATTTGGCCCCATAGTGCCGCGGTTAGAATATGTTTATTTTATTTGTGTGATGTAAATTTGTGAATATAATTATTTAGTTTTTGATATTATTATTTTTTGCTGCCGTTACTACCATCAATTGTTTGGTGTTGTTGTTCTTCTTGTTGTTGTGTGTGTGTATATCTATCACATTTTGTTGGTAGATTGCAAAACCACAGTTCATTCGCTGAAAACCACGTTATCATGTTGCATTTATTTAGTACTAATGTAATTAATTAGTATATAATAGACTAGCATACAAATATACACCTACAACTACGTAAATATATGTATATGGATTTCGTTATTAGGGAAGTAACCACGATTTTTTACATAAGACTAGGGAACTAATAACTGTAAAGTGGCAAAAGGTCATTTTTTCTGGTATCCGATATAATAAGTGACTACTGGATGTTTGCAGAGTTGCATTCTTGAAATGCAGTGAGTGATAATAATATTGTTGTAATATAAGGCCTCTTCTTAATGAATTGCATAAATATATTCTGATCTTTTATGGGGTGTTTTAGCGATTCAATAATGCCCGTCTCTTAAAGCTTTATTGCTTAAACTTGAATTGTCCAAACATTTGTTTAAAATGTTATACCCCTAAGGTTTAAACAAATATGTTCTATCCACACACACATATACATAAGTATTAATTTATGCATAATTATATTTAGCAGATGTTTATATTAAAATTAAATAAAAAACAACAGACAACAATACTTTAATCTAAATCAACTAAAACGGGTTTAAAAAAAGTTTTTAAACTACATATTACAAAAACAAGTATTAGCAATCTACTAACAATATAAATCAAACAAAGTTAGAAAAAAATAAAGTTTTTTAACTATTGAACGAATTTATTTAAAATTTAGCATTTGCTTTGATTAACAGTTTAAAATGTTGATATTAAATTACTAATATTGAGCATTAAAATAAAAGAAACTATTTATACTGTAGTCTAGTCTATAGTCTAGTCTATAGTCTAATCTATAGTCTAGTCTATAGTCTACTCTATAGTCTAGTCTATAGTCTAATCTATAGTCTAGTCTATAGTCTAATCTATAGTCTAGTCTATAGTCTACTCTATAGTCTAGTCTATAGTCTAATCTATAGTCTACTCTATAATCTAATCTATAGTCTAGTCTATAGTCTAGTCTATAGTCTAGTCTATAGTCTAGTCTATAGTCTAGTCTATAGTCTAGTCTATAGTCTAGTCTATAGTCTAGTCTATAGTCTAGTCTATAGTCTAGTCTATAGTCTAGTCTATAGTCTAGTCTATAGTCTAGTCTATAGTCTAGTCTATAGTCTAGTCTATAGTCTAGTCTAGTCTATAGTCTAGTCTATAGTCTAGTCTATAGTCTAGTCTATAGTCTAGTCTATAGTCTAGTCTATAGTCTAGTCTATAGTCTAGTCTATAGTCTAGTCTATAGTCTAGTCTATAGTCTAGTCTATAGTCCTAGTCTATAGTCTAGTCTATAGTCTAGTCTATAGTCTAGCTATAGTCTAGTCTATAGTCTAGTCTATAGTCTAGTCTATAGTCTAGTCATAGTTAGTCTATAGTCTAGTCTATGTCTAGTCTATAGTCTAGTCTATATAATCTAATCTATAGTCTAGTCTATAGTCTTGTCTATAGTCTAGTCTATAGTCTAGGTCTATAGTCTAGTCTATAGTCTAGTCTATAGTCTAGTCTATAGTCCTAGTCTATAGTCTAGTCTATAGTCTAGTCTATAGTCTAGTCTATAGTCTAGTCTATAGTCTAGTCTATAGTCTAGTCTATAGTCTAGTCTATAGTCTAGTCTATAGTCTAGTCTATAGTCTAGTCTATAGTCTAGTCTATAGTCTAGTCTATAGTCTAGTCTATAGTCTAGTCTATAGTCTAGTCCTATAGTCTAGTCTATAGTCTAGTCTAGTCTATAGTCTAGTCTATAGTCTAGTCTATAGTCTAGTCTATAGTCTAGTCTATAGTCTAGTCTATAGTCTAGTCTATAGTCTAGTCTATAGTCTAGTCTATGGTCTAGTCTATAGTCTAGTCTATAGTCTAGTCTATAGTCTAGTCTATAGTCTAGTCTATAGTCTAGTCTATAGTCTAGTCTATAGTCTAGTCTAGTCTATAGTCTAGTCTAGTCTATATTCTAGTCTATAGTCTAGTCTAGTCTAGTCTATAGTCTAGTCTATAGTCTAGTCTATAGTCTAGTCTATAGTCTAGTCTATAGTCTAGTCTATAGTCTAGTCTATAGTCTAGTCTATAGTCTAGTCTATATCTAGTCTATAGTCTAGTCTATAGTCTAGTCTATAGTCTAGTCTATAGTCTAGTCTATAGTCTAGTCTATAGTCTAGTCTATAGTCTAGTCTATAGTCTAGTCTATAGTCTAGTCTATAGTCTAGTCTATAGTCTAGTCTATAGTCTATAGTCTAGTCTATAGTCTAGTCTATAGTCTAGTCTATAGTCTAGTCTATATCTAGTCTATAGTCTAGTCTATAGTCTAGTCTATAGTCTATAGTAGTCTATATAATCTAATCTATAGTCTAGTCTATAGTTTAGTCTATAGTCTAGTCTATAGTCTAGTCTATAGTCTAGTCTATAGTCTAGTCTATAGTCTAGTCTATAGTCTAGTCTATAGTCTAGTCTATAGTCTAGTCTATAGTCTAGTCTATAGTCTAGTCTATAGTCTAGTCTATAGTCTAGTCTATAGTCTAGTCCATAGTCTAGTCTTTGTCTAGCCTATTGTAAAGTCTAGTCTATAGTCTTGTCTTTTCAATGTCTGCTACTTAATAAAGAATTTTTTAAAATTGAGCTGTAATATGTTAATTTATCGTGTTACTAAATAATATTTATTCTCTCATTAATAATTTTTAGATTAATTTATATTAAAAACACCTTATTTTTGTAATAATTAACTAATTACAGGATCTGAGACAAAAAATTATCCTTAAATATTTGTTATTTATTACTCACAGTTCGTTAACACTTTTTTATTTCCCTCAATAATAAAAAATGGAGCAAAATAAACACTTACCTCTATCCTCTTCCTCTTCGTTCAATTGTTCTGGTGTTACGGCCCAATTTTCATCATCATCAAAATGAGCATCACCGCCGCGACCACCACCTGGATAGAAGGCATGTGCTAAAATTAGACCAGGACCATCAAATTTATAGCCATCACCATGATCACGTCTGTAAAAGAAACGGAAAATAGAAAAATCATAAAAAATGTTTATATGTATAAAGATTGTTAAGAAAAAGTTTTCCCAACAAAAGCTACTAAAATGGAAATTTATATCATTAATATTGAAAAGCTGTTAACGTTGAAAACGTTGAGGAAAAAAAGATAAGAACAGCACAGAAAACAGATAAAAGATGAACAAGTTTATTTTAGAAAATGATTAAATATTCTATTAGTAAATTTACACTTTATAATCATTCTACGAAATGTGAATGAAGAGTGTTTTATACGTAAACACACACAAACAAAAAATATAAAATTTTTATTAAAGAAACTTTGGCAAATATTTTAGTTTTATGCTGTGATTTTCTTATTTTTTTATTAGATTAAAACTATTTTTAGTTGTAGCTAACTGTAGTTGATAAAAGAGTTTTTAAAATATTTATTTAACTAGTGTATAATTAAAATGCTTATTAAAATTTTTATTTTTTAAATTTTCATTCTTTGGGTAAAATTTTAATGGCAAGCAGTAAAAATTTTATCTGAAAATTATTTAGTTATGAATTTTGATTTTAAACTATTAAAGTTAAACTTTTACTGACACCTTAAAAAATTTACGTGTTAATAGTTTTTCAAGAGGTTATCAGAGCATTTTATACCCTACACCACTATAGTGGGGAGGAATTATGAGTTTGTGATTCGGTTCAAAATAATTTTTTTGGGTTTATTTAGCTATGTACATATGTCAGTCCATGTAACACTTGTAATTTGATTAAATACACAGGCCGACAAAATTTTAAAAGAGTCGAAACCCTGAGACCTATTTATACTTGTCTAATGGATTGACCCGCTTTGAATCAGATCTGGGATTTAAGATATTGTGTACTGAAGTTTGAAGAACTCAATTTTTGGACCTTTTTGAAACGATTCAGATTCGGATCAGATTCGGCAAAGTGTACTTTAGTCTCTGGGTTAAAAATTTGTCGGACTTCAATCCTAACCTGAAAATCCTATATAGATGGTCTCTCGAAATTACGTTTAAATGCCGTTAAACTGAAATGTTAATTACAAATCATGCTCTAAAGTTCCACGAGGTCCTTTATATAATCACATTATTGACTTTAAAATATTATGAAATTTATTACAGAATGGGATCTTAGTCGATCTGTGACATGCACAAGATGACCAATTCTTTGCTGTAAGAGGGTCCATGAGCACTACGTCGATCAAAGCTTATAAAACATTGCAGGATATTTCTGCCATCAAAACTCAGGCTGCCCTCCAGCCGAACGGTTCTTATCTTTAGGCGAATTGACAAAAGCCGGAACTTTGAACCAGTAATGCGAGATAGAAAATCGGAGTCAACCCGAAACTATTATTACGCGACTACCTCTAACTGAAAGACACAACACGTCTGGTAATCCAGGGAGTTCAGCGTATATGTAACTTGGGGCCATGTGAAACATTGCTGAACATATCTCCGATCAAAACACATTAAAATATGAAGTGGAACTTTTTGCCTAGAGGCTCTTAACTTTTGACAAATTGACAAAACCCGATTATAGGACACATCATCAATATATACTGGATATATTGGACGGTTATACAAAAATAACAGATGTATTCGATCGTATACCGAAAACAGAAATGGTTAGGAAGTTTCAGAAATTGATCTTAGAGAGAAAATCCCTAGATGTATGTATCTGATCGTATACCGTATAAGGAAATGGTTAGGAAGTTTCAGAAATTTATCCCCTATAGAAAATCGTGGTCTAGAAGAATTTGTTGTTATACGAATGGCTCTTAACTGAAAGACAGATAGACTATAAAAGAGCCATAACCGAATACTTTTCCACTGGGAAGTGAAAACCTATATAACATATAACACTGTCAGCTAATCACAGAGCTTATTGGCTTGTAAGAAAGCCATAACCGAATACTCTTCAAGTAGAGCTTATTGTCTTGTAAGATAGCCATAACCGAATACTCGGAAATAAAAGCGAACTTACTTGCTATAAAGGGAAGATAAGAGAAACCCATACGGCATTATATGATTACCAGGCAAGTCGGGAATAATCGGAAATAAAAACGAATTTACTTGCAATAAAGGGAAGAAAAGAGAAATCCATGCGGAAACTCCACTGAAATCCTATGGGGCGATCCCGATGAGAATAGTATCGAAAGCCTCTTCAGTATCAATAGTTTAGTATGGTTCAGATGGTACATATTCTAAGGAGACACATAGTTCTTACGGAGAGAACTATAAAAATTTGGACGAATACTTTGTCCGTAATGAAACCTTGGAACGTTTCTTAGATATTAGATCCAAATATCTTGGGAGTGATGTTTCAACAGATATTGTAGCCCGGGGAACACAGATTGGAAAATTATAAGAAACTGATTCCAGGAGACGGAGCGTCTAAACATTGGACAATAGTTTCTTTTATAGAAATCTATAAAATCTTTTTCCCACAAAATTTTCCTTGAAAGTAAGAGCTCAACAGGCTCGATAGCGCCCTAGGTGCATTGTTTTTTGCAGCTGACATTTCATCGTTCCAAAATTGATCTTAGCATTAAAACACTTTCTGAAAATCTCATTAAATATACTCAAAATTACTGTATAGTATCATTTGGTGAGATATGACCGATTTGTTAAATTTTAAAATTCTGTTTTATTCAAAGCCAATAAATCTTTATTGGAATATTAAAAGGATAATATAAATTTCTAATGGCCACAGTAATTCCACACAAGCGTAAACCAAATCAACTCTTTTTACACTTTTTTTTCGAAATATATAAGAAATATTTATGTAAAATGAACGTGTTTACAAAAAAAAAAAACAATGTTTTATTTTCCACAAAAATCCTCATAACCTGATATTATTTATAATAAATTTTTATAAGTTGCAGTGTGCGTGTTAGTGCAGTTTATTAATGCACTATGGTATGTGTACTGCTGTAATGCATGTTAGTGTGTGTATATATGTATAAGTGACCTCATATATAAGGTTTAATAAAATCCATTATTACTTTTTTTTCCTAAGTCCCTCTCAAAATGTTTATCTTTATTTCAAATTGAGATTTGTGCAGTTTTGCTTAAGTTACTTTATTTATATTCGCAACGTTTTGTTTTTACCACTTTTACCGAAAACAAAAAAATAAAGAAAATAACTTTAGTATTAAGTGTAAACCAGGTGCATGTGTATATAACCAGCAGGGTTTCAAAGGAGTCAATATATCCTTTTTGTGGAATGGTTTCTCAAATATCTAAATATGTTTGGTGACAAGAATTTAAGTAATTTAGAACCATTTGTTTTGTAGTTAAGTACTATTTTTTCTTGCATGCATGGTTACTGCATGCACCCCCAGTAATCTAGGGGATAGTAAATTAGTCAGTTTATTGTCTATAAGTGATCTAGAGTTCAGACTATTTAAATATTCTGAAGTCCTGTTATTAGTCTCATCTAGGTTCTTATCTGCAGATCAGTTCACAAACCAGTGTATATTCTAGTCTTTAGTTCAATATGTATTCTCATCTAAAGTCCAGTCTAAATATAGTCTCCTTTCAAGTCCAGTTATTAGTCCAACCAAGGGTCACAGCTACAAATCAGACTATATTACAGTTATAAGTCCAATCTAGAATGCAATCAACATGTCAGTCCCGACAGTATTCCCATCTAGAGAACAATATATAGTCGTAATTAATGTTATAAGTCCAACCCAGGAACCAATTTACAGACCAGTCTATAGTCTACTTTAAAGCCCAGTTATTGGCACAACTCAGAGATCAGTGTATAGCTCAAACTATAGTCCAGTTATTGATCCAATCTAGGTCCCAATCTACTGATCAGTTTATAGTACAGTCTGTAGTTCAATATGTAATTCATTTTAAAATTCCGACGGTATTTTCATCTGCAGTCTAGTATATTGTCTACTCTCATGTCCAGTTATTAGTCTAACTAATGGTTCAATCTATAGATCAGCCTATAGCTCTCTACTGATTAGTATATAGTCCAAACTGTCCAGTCTATAGTTCAATATGGAATTTATTTTAAACTCAAGATAGTATTTCCATCTACAGTATAGTCTATCGTCTACTTTAATGTACAATTATTAGCCTAACCAAAGGTCCAATCTACAGATCAGTCTATAATCTAATCTATAGTGCAATATGTAAGTTATTTTAAAATCCAGAAAGTATTTTCTTCTACAGTTTAGTCTATAGTCTACTTGCACACCAGTTATTAGTCTAACTAATGGTCCAATCTATAGCTCAAACTACAGTCCAGTTAATGGTCTAATCTACTGATCAGTCCAGTATAGTTCAATATATAATTTATTTTAAAATCCAGAGAGTATTCCCATTTTCAGTTTACATTCAAATCCAGTTATTAGTGCAAGTCTAGGTCCAATTTATAGGTCAGTCTATATTTTATATTCAATATGTAGTTTATCTTAAAGTCCAGTTAAAAGTCCAATATACAGTTTAGTCTATAGTCTACTTTCAAGTTCAGTTATCAGTCTGACCCAGGGCCTTATTTATAGATCAGATTATATTCTAAACTATAGCCCAGTTTATGATCCAGTCTATAGTTCAATATGTAGTTTATTTAAAAGTCCAGTCAGTAGTACAATATAAAGTTCAGTATATAACTAATTCGATAGTTTTGTCTATAGCCCAATCTATAGTTCAATTTATAAGCTATGCTCCAACACATATATCAATATATAGCGTAGTTCAGTCCATTATACAACCTATAATTTTGTTTCACTTTCAGTCTACACTTCAGCTTGTTGTTTAATCTATAGACTATAGAGTGCAAAAGGACTTAATTTTGGCTTCAAGGTAAAACCCGATAGAAGTCAATTAGTTACTGCATACGTTACATGTAATCTAATAAGTGTTTAGTCGTTACTTAATTATCTCTAATCAATCCAAATTGTTGACTATTTAAGCCTTTATTCTGTATTGTAGTTTAGAAAGATGTTAGCTAAGATTCGGAACAATCACTCCGAATTACAGGTTACACGAGTGTGTGTGTAACTTTGTGTTTATGAGAATGTGTTAGTGCATGATTATAAGAATTTCTGTGCGTGTTTTATCGTTTGGTTTTAGTGGTATTTTATGTGTTTTTCTTCTTCCCAGTTTTATGTGTTTTTATGTTTTTGTTCAGCATTTTCATGCTTTTTTCTTTGTAGCCTTTATATACACTATTCTTTGGTTTATGGGGTTTTTCGTGTATGTGCTGTTTCTTTTCCCCTTTCTATTGCTTTAGAATGTACCCGATAGTTTTAGAGATAATGGAATGGCTTTTTGAAAGTAATCTTTGTTAATAAAAGTTACTTAATTGATTACTTAACATATCACAGGTAATCTATTATAGAGTCAGTTGTCTTTAAGTATTCCAAAGTAATATACAATCTGGACCCAGTACTAATAGTCATCCACAACTTCCGGGTATGTCTAGAAGTTATTTGTTTGTTACTTACTTGGCAAATAATACTTGTATATCTGCTTGATCACTGTACACTTCACGGAATGTCAGTTTGGAGTTACTTTCCCAAACACTCAACGCTTTGCGTAGCGTCATACGTACTTGACCTGCATTCGGCATTGATTGATTAACCAAACTGAAAGTAAAAAGTAAGAAGAAAAACAAGAAAAAAAATTAAATATAAAAGTATTAAACTAAATTTTGGGTTGTTGAGAAAAGTTTATGATGTATTATAAACGAAATCAAACATCAGTCAATGTTTTCTTTTGGTTTTTATAAACTGACTTCCATTCATCAATATTAATTTAAGAAAAAAACTATTTGACGCCATTAGAAAGAAACCTTTACCATGATTTTGTTTAAGTTTTCCTTTTCGTTCTTTAACTATTTCTTAACATATTTTAGAAAAGAGTTAAGGGTCTTTTAGGCAAAAGTTAAATAAAGAAGTACTTCATAAAGATTTTGTTAATTAGTTATAATTTATACCATAACATCCTAAAATATTGGGTCTATAATACGTCTTATAGTATAACATGCAGTAATAATATGGTTCAAATCGGCCTATTATCTAATAAAGCTTTCGTATAAAATATCATACGGAATACAAAGCTCATCAAAATATTGATTTCAAATCTGCCCAGTTACCAAAATATGGGTTTATATTGTCCTAATAACTTTATACTAAAATATTTTATATTTATTTAAACAAATACAAGTTTCTTTGAATTTTGACAGGTTTTTCTCATAATTAAGTCTCGTTTTGTCCTTTAAACGTAACAGATTTATTTAAATATAAACACAATTTCTCCCAAAAATTATATTCTTCAAAGTTGGGTTTTGTGGTGTCCTTTGGTTTAAAATGCGAGTGTGTGTGGGTGAAAGGAAGAATAAAGTCGTTGGTGTGTGTATTTTTCTTTTCACTTTTTAGTTGTAACATATTTTCTGGTTTATTATGAGTATTTTTCCTGGTAAATATCCAGCCACTCATCCATCCACCTGTGAGCTTTAAATTTTTTGTTTATTTATTTTTTTTTTTTTTTTCAATTTAAAACACTACAAAGAGTCGTAGTTCTAGTTGTATTGGGGAGTTTTGGGTTCGTTATTTTTTTTTTTAATTTTCACATTTTTAACCAAATGTTTTCTGATGTTATGCAAATTAGTTAAGTTTCATTGTATATTTTAATGGCAGGAAATTCACTTTTGCTGTGTTTTATGTTTGCATTTATACACAGAGGGAAAAAGAAATATACACGCTTGGTACCAAATTGGCACCAAAGAGTTTGTAATTTTTCAATAACAACCGTTGTCAAAGTATATACATACGTACGACAACACTATGTCGCAACGTTGTCAACATTGCAACAATTCGTTGTCGAAATCTAAATTTTTTACACATACGTTGTCTAAATGTGAACAAACGTGGTAAGCTCACTATTGGCAACGGATTGTTTGCAATAGTGAACTTACCACGTTTGTTAACATTTAGACAACGTATGTGTAAAAAAATTAGATTTCGACAACGAATTGTTGCAATGTTGACAACGTTGCGACATAGTGTTGTCGTACGTATGTATATACTTTGACAACGGTTGTTATTGAAAAATTACAAACTCTTTGGTGCCAATTTGGTACCAAGCGTGTATATTTGTTTTTCCCTCTGTGTACCCTACATCATCATAATATTGTAGGTATTAGGCGTTTGAGATAGATTTTTAACAATCTAAAAGTAAAGCTGCTTCATCCTCCTTAATCTTAGAATTTAACTAGAACAGAACTAGAACAGAACTAGAACAGAACTAGAACAGAACTAGAACTGAACTAGAACTGAACTAGAACTGAACTAGAACTGAACTAGAAGTGAACTAGAACAGAACTAGAACAGAACTAGAACAGAACTAGAACAGAACTAGAACAGAACTAGAACAGAACTAGAACAGAACTAGAACAGAACTAGAACAGAACTAGAACAGAACTAGAACAGAACTAGAACAGAACTAGAACAGAACTAGAACAGAACTAGAACAGAACTAGAACAGAACTAGAACAGAACTAGAACAGAACTAGAACAGAACTAGAACAGAACTAGAACAGAACTAGAACAGAACAGAACTAGAACAGAACTAGAACAGGACTAGAACAGAACTAGAACAGAACTATAACAAAACTATAACAGAACTATAACAGAACTAGAACAGAACAGAACAGAACAGAACTAGAACAGAACTAGAACAGAACTAGAACTAGAACAGAACTAGAACAGAACAGAACAGAACAGAACAGAACTAGAACTAGAACAGGACTAGAACTAGAACTGAACTAGAACTGAACTAGAACTGAACTAGAACTGAACTAGAACTGAACTAGAACTGAACTAGAACTGAACTAGAACTGAACTAGAACTGAACTAGAACTGAACTAGAACTGAACTAGAACTGAACTAGAACTGAACTAGAACTGAACTAGAACTGAACTAGAACTGAACTAGAACTGAACTAGAACTGAACTAGAACAGAACTAGAACTGAACTAGAACTGAACTAGAACTGAACTAGAACTGAACTAGAACTGAACTAGAACTGAACTAGATCTGAACTAGAACTGAACTAAAACTGAACTAGAACTGAACTAGAACTGAACTGAACTAGAACTGAACTGAACTAGAACTGAACTAGAACAGAACTAGAACTGAACTAGAACTGAACTAGAACTGAACTAGAACTGAACTAGAACTGAACTAGAACTGAACTAGAACTGAACTAGAACTGAACTAGAACTGAACTAGAACTGAACTAGAACTGAACTAGAACTGAACTAGAACTGAACTAGAACTGAACTAGAACTGAACTAGAACTGAACTAGAACTGAACTAGAACTGAACTAGAACTGAACTAGAACTGAACTAGAACTGAACTAGAACTGAACTAGAACTGAACTAGAACTGAACTAGAACTGAACTAGAACTGAACTAGAACTGAACTAGAACTGAACTAGAACTGAACTAGAACTGAACTAGAACTGAACTAGAACTGAACTAGAACTGAACTAGAACTGAACTAGAACTGAACTAGAACTGAACTAGAACTGAACTAGAACTGAACTAGAACTGAACTAGAACTGAACTAGAACTGAACTAGAACTGAACTAGAACTGAACTAGAACTGAACTAGAACTGAACTAGAACTGAACTAGAACTGAACTAGAACTGAACTAGATCTGAACTAGAACTGAACTAGAACTGAACTAGAACTGAACTAGAACTGAACTGAACTGAACTAGAACTGAACTGAACTAGAACTGAACTGAACTAGAACTGAACTAGAACAGAACTAGAACAGAACTAGAACAGAACTAGAACAGAACTAGAACAGAACTAGAACAGAACTAGAACAGAACAGAACTAGAACAGAACAGAACAGAACAGAACAGAACAGAACAGAACAGAACAGAACAGAACTAGAACAGAACTAGAACAGGACTAGAACAGAACTAGAACAGAACTATAACAAAACTATAACAGAACTATAACAGAACTAGAACAGAACAGAACTAGAACAGAACTAGAACTAGAACAGAACTAGAACAGAACAGAACAGAACAGAACAGAACAGAACAGAACAGAACTAGAACAGAACAGGACTAGAACTAGAACTGAACTAGAACTGAACTAGAACTGAACTAGAACTGAACTAGAACTGAACTAAAACTGAACTAGAAGTGAACTAGAAATGAACTAGAACTCAACTAGAACTGAACTAGTACTGAACTAGATCGGAACTAAAACCTCCCTAAAGTAAATTTTAATATAGCTGATACTGATGTATGTTGTTCTATAATCGGACATGTCCGACTGTAGTTCATATTACTTGGTTTTGTTGTGCTTATTATTGCCCTTTATTTACTTCTTTTGTGTTGGATTTTTTTTCAGAATTTTCTGTTTTTCAGGTTATACTCTTTAAATTTTTTTCTGTGGTTAATTTGCTTTTCATTTACTCAAGGGTTTAAAATGGACTGGTCTTTATAAAGAAACCAGCAACATTTGTTTATTCTACTTAAATCTAAATGATCTTTACGCAATAAATATTTAAGCTACTTTAAGAAAAATGAAAAGCGTTCCGAGTTTTATTAAGAAGATAAAGCAGTTTTAGGAAGCTCTTTAAAAATTTTTCAGAATTTGTTTCAATAAGCACTAACTTATCAAACATTTTGCTGGGTGTTCCTTTGAAAAATCCCAGCTACATGTTATGAATTTGTGTTTAATTTTATTTTGTAAGGATTTTAATTTCTTTGCCACACGCTACCGATACAGGTGTATTGTATGTGAGGTAGGTACGTTCGTATTGTATATAATATGGAAGAGAGTTAAATACATTTTGTATTAGATTGAGCCACAAAACATGTGCTGCACTTATTTTATGACCATAAAACTTCTTCATTGCAGTAACATTTTATTTCATTTAATTAAAGAGTTTTTTTTTTTGTTGAATGCATCATAAGGTGCCACCACAAACTACCACAAAGCGGATAATATGGAGGTTTAGATAAAAGGGTTTAATATATAGCAAGAGTTATAAAGGATTTAATTAGAAATATTTTTTTGCTATAAACAATAATGGTAATATTTGCTTATGCATATATTTGGAATATTTTCATTAGAGAAAGATTTAAGTTTTTGAAAATTTAATTTGATATATTTAAGTATGGGGCTTGAAAAATCTAGTCTATAGTCTAGTCTATAGTGTTGTCTATAGTCTAGTCTATAGTCTAGTCTATAGTCTAGTCTATAGTCTAGTCTATAGTCTAGTCTATAGTCTAGTCTATAGTCTAGTCTATAGTCTAGTCTATAGTCTAGTCTATAGTCTAGTCTATAGTCTAGTCTATAGTCTAGTCTATAGTCTAGTCTATAGTCTAGTCTATAGTCTAGTCTATAGTCTAGTCTATAGTCTAGTCTATAGTCTAGTCTATAGTCTAGTCTATAGTCTAGTCTATAGTCTAGTCTATAGTCTAGTCTATAGTCTAGTCTATAGTCTAGTCTATAGTCTAGTCTATAGTCTAGTCTATAGTCTAGTCTATAGTCTAGTCTATAGTCTAGTCTATAGTCTAGTCTATAGTCTAGTCTATAGTCTAGTCTATAGTCTAGTC